GTAGTTGTAACGTTCTTTACATTTATTATAATTTAATATTTACTATAAATTATTTATTTGTTTAATTAGTTAATATTATTTATTATTTAGTGTGTGTTGGTTTGTTATTTAATTTATCCTAGTCGACCTTTGTCTCGAGAAGTTAGGTAGATAGATAGGTAGATAGAATACATAGATAGATATCTATTATTGTATATCATATATATATTTATTTAGTTATACTCGTGTTGTAACGGTGTCGTTTTGTTTTTAGGAGGAATTTTTTTGTCAGTACAACCAATTGGTCGGTACCAGGTGACAGGTATGTTTCTGGGTCTACCGGAGTTGTCCGGTAATCGGTTAGACAAAAGCTTCAAAGCTCCGTTCCTTGTGGTTGTACAACGTAACAGCCGTTTACGTAGAACTAACTTTGACAGCCTTCCACCCCCGAGAGGTAGAGGTCGACGGCACAAACGAGGGTCGACCTTTTGCCTTCTCCATTCTGTTTGAAAGGATGTACTAGAATTATTATGATATATTATCAGTATGTCAGTGGTCTAAAATGGTCTTACAATGGTGCCGACAATATTATCGTTTATCGCAATAATTTCCAGGAACATTTATCGTCCAACAAAATTATTTATCGTGACAGGCCTACACACAACATGTATTTCACATCTGTCCATCCTGGGAGTTAACCCTAACCCTGGTCTCTCTGAGGTTTCCACCCCATTCATTTTAAGAATTATTTGAGAGTTTATCCTTGTGTGCTGCAAGGGTCTAATGACAAAGGTTGCTGTATGCTGTACACACTGAAAAGCCCCCTGAGACAAATGTTTAATTTGTGATATTGGGCTATATCAATACAATCTGAGGGAAATTCGTACAAAAAAGCAATGCACCTAAATAATAAGTAACACCTGAATATAGAAAATATTCACATCTTACTCCTAAAGATTAATATTAATAAGGGAAATATTTAAATGCATGTATATCTCAATTAAAATGCACACATACAGTACAATAAAGCGAGTTGGCTGATTTAACTTAAATATAAAAGATGAAATATGGGGAGGTACACCTTACAGAATGTATAACTTTGATGTGACGCCACCTGTGTGTGAGATGCTGTCACATTTTGAAAAATGTATGGTAGTTAATTTGTGTAAGAATTTCCCAAATACGTGTTGAAAGAAATATAGAGTGTCAAAAACAAGTTGCACTACACCTAAAACTTAAAAAAGGTTTATTTTTGGTGGGTTTCTAACAAAAAAACGTTGTGAGATACGACGTGGGAGTTACACTTTGAATAAATATAAGTATAGATAATTGTATTTAAAGTATTGAAGAAGTTGTCAATTGAAGATTTTTGGAAGTCCTGAAAATTATTCAGAGACAGACTAACATATTCTTGGTTTCGTTTTTTCATGGTAATTTTGATACTAACAAAATCTGAGAAGACTTATCTTTAAGCATCCTTTGCTCACTTTATTTAGTGGCATAAAAGTCCTCACATTTTTAAGGAAACTCACCAATATCGATCTCGCAGTGTTCACCCTTCCAGCCGGGCTTACAGACGCATTGTCCAGAACCCTGAATGCCTGTATCACAGCGTCCCTGCAGCCCACAGCTGCAGGCTGAAAGAGAGGACAGACATGACTCGACCCGCCCGATCATTTCAAATAATCTCAACAGACCACAGAGGTCAGGGGGTTCCTGAAGCAACAACAGCTTTTTATTTTTTCATTAAAAATGTTGACAGTTGGAGCTTTTTGACACTTGGATCGAAAAAAAACCTTCTTGGTTCAATTATCAAATCAAAAGATGAATAATTGTGCCAGAAAGAAAATCAACAGGTTTATTTCCTCACTGCAGCAACAAAGCACTTTGAGTTCACCACAGCTCAGACCTGCTTCTTTTCCTGTGATGATCCACATTGAAGAGATCATCAAAAGAAAAACTTTAAAACCTGAACAGAAGATGATCAGCATCTGTTTCCTGTTGAGGGAAAACAGCCGAGCTGCAGGAAGCACGTCCAGCTGTGTGAGCGCTACTATGGTGATAGACTGCAGGAGCACTGATGGGGGTGAGAGTAATTTTATTTGGGGGGTGACAGGTGGGGTTGAGGCAAACCAAACACCTTCATTTAGGATAAAGAAAAGTTGTTCATTGTGGTCCTAAAGCTGTATTAATAATAGTGTGTTAAAGTTCCCATTACATTTTTAGCTATCTGATTCTGCATATAACGTCTCTCCCTTACAGTGGGTGAGGGAAGGACATGGATATTGATTGGCCTTTACAGTGGCCAAAAGTGCTACATTTGCATTAAACCCATGCCATGAGAGCAGCCTGCTCTCTTGTCGAGGACTCAGTTGTCGCCCCCACCTTTGTCTAACTTAGTGGATTTTACCAAGATTGTAAATGGAAAACGTTTTTTAAAAGTTGTTTTTGTAGCGAGGCGAGATCAAATCTGGTTGCAGAGAGAGATGCAGGCTCATCCCCACGATGGACCTGATGCAACAACATGGTTGGCTTATGAACGGTGGCCTACAAGTGCAAATGCCCAAAACATTTCCTTTCAGAGAAACGCGCTGCAGTTTCAAAAACGAAATATAAAATATATATAAATATGAAAACACAAATAATACATTTATTTAGGAACAAATGTTCCAAAACACACGCAAATGAAGAGACATCTTCACCAACTTGAAGCAGCATGAGTGGAAAACATGCACCAACTTGACAAAACATACGTAGCGTTTACTAGAAGTGTTGCATAAACGAAATGCTGCACCATAGCTACATGTAAAGGCTCAGAAGCTACATTGTAGTTAACGCTCATCTCACAAAAATGTTAAATACCCACCAGGATATGACGGAAAAGGAGGTACATTAGAACACAACAAGAACTATAATTAGAGATCGGTGAAAAAAGGTTATTTATTCCTTTTTAGCAACGGTCATCTTGCAAAGCAACCTCCACTACAGCATCGCAGTAGTCAGTAATTACACCTGTTGAAATCTAAGTCGCCTTAAAGAACCTCCAGTTATAGAAAACATGTTTACTGATGATTCAATCCGCAGATGCTTATATTTGTAATTTCCACTGGTGAAAGTAATAGCAGATAAACATGAGAAACGTCTATGTGAATAATTTGAACTTAGGTCTTTGCTAATAAAAAAGAAAAAGGGGAAAGAAAAGTCTATGTATTTATCAACCTTTAAAAGCTAAAACATGATGCTAAAAACTACTGCAATATCTTGTGATAATTTTGCTGTGAAAACTTTTCTTTACTTTGGTACTTTATTCTGAAAGAACAATCACAATTGTAATGATTTTAATATTAAATCAAATCTGTTTCCAGTTTTTGGTCTACCTGTGCAGTTGGGGCCATAGTGGCCGACGGCACACAGTTCGCATGCTTTTCCAATGAAACCTTCATGGCACTTGCATCTTCCTGAACCACTCATACCATCGTAGCAGTCACCATGGTTACCACAAGGAGCCTCCAGGCCACCTGGACAAACTGAAACACACCAGGAACGAGTCAAAAGACACAGAGAGGACAAACAAAATATATAAAATGTCCCTGGGCCTAAAGCCAAATCCTTTGGATCACATTTTGATTTGACAAACACAAGCTTACCCAATGATGATGACTTTGGTACTTTAATGAAGTTCAAATGCAAGTTCAAGTTATTTTCTTTGCATTTTATTTTAGTTGCTTCTATTCCACTGTATTACAGGTAATATCTCATGCATATATCTCATGAACTTCCCCACTCAATCTATCAAGACCCGAGCAGTTCTATTAGAAGTCAAAGATAAGGCACGGGCCGGCGCATATCGCTCAAAGGAATCCCTCGCCATATGAACTTTGACCCTTAGAAAGTAAAAGTGAAGAGGCACAACGTGTCAGCTCCCTTTAGAATAGGTCTGAGAAACTGGGGTATGAAAAGAATAGCAAGAAACAGAGGAAGAGAGGCACAACGTGTTTGCGTACATGCACTCTCCTAAAATATTAAACGAGTAAGGGGTGAAGAAATACAAAGACAGAAACTGAAATGAAAAGGCACCACATTGAGTAAATGCTTCCCCTTAGAATAGGGTGGAAATTATGAAAAGGGGACAGGGGATACTAGTGAAGAGGGACAACAGTGAAAAGGCCCAACGTGTCTAACCTTGACGTAATAGCACTCTCCAAAGGGAAAGAAA